AATGATTCCACGTTAGAGAGCACAGACACAAATCTAAAATGTGGAACCTTTCACACATGGATCCTCATCTGGTTAGTGCTTTGTTTGAGGAACATCCTTAAAAAATCACCTCAAATGAAAAGTGAAGTGACAGTCCAGGATTCTAGCCTCCAAGGGCATATTTAGGGAAAACCAAGAAACTACATTATGATTGGTAATACTGAAAAATATCTGGGTATGTGTGAGTCGGTCAGCTTCCATATTTCACAAAGTCTTAACTGCTGGATTTCCCTTCAGTCTGAATTCTGAAATGGATTTGGCGACCTCTCATCAAAGTAAAAAAAAAATGGAGTTTCTTTACTCTTTGGGAAGAATATAGGTAGTTCTTGACTTACAACAGTTCATTTAGTGACCATTCCAAGTTACGATACTGAAAAAAGTGACATGGCCACTTCACACTTATGACCATTACAGCATCCCCATGTTCACATGATCAAAATTCAGACAGCATATGACTCATATTTATGATAGTTGCAGTGTCCTGGGGTCATGTGATCATCTTTTGCAACTTTCTGACAGCAAAATCAATAGGGAAGTCAGATTTATTTAACAATCAATCAATCAATCAATCAATTAATCAATTCAATTAGAGCTGGAAGGGATTTTGGAGGTCTTCTAGTCCAATTCCCTGCTCAAGCAGGAGATGTGTTGCTAACAACCCTGTTAGTAACTTAACGTCTGCGGCAAGAAAAGTCGTAACACAGGGCAAAATTCCCTTAACAACTGACTCATTTAGAGACAGAAATTTTGAGCTCAACTGTGATCGTAAGTCAAGGAGTACCTTACACCCATTTTAAAAAAAATCAAGGGAATAGGTTGCCTCCCAGAATTTGGGTATTCAATCACTGGAGAATTTCAAGAAAAGACTGATCAATTATTTGTCCAGGATGGAATAAGGACTTCGGGCAGAGGTTGGAACTAGAAGACCTCCAAAATCTCTTCCAGTTCTATGATTCTATGATCTACAAACTCTGATCTCATCAAGGAAATGAGCACTGCTTAAAGAGCTCAATGGTATGGATTCCTTGGTGCTCTCTGAGCTTGGTTGTTTTTTTTTTTTTTTTGCAGACCTTTCATCACTCATGATGAAACCTCATCACGGTAACCTCATGATGATGTGAAAAGAAGGAAACATCTGCAAGGAAACAACCAAGGTCAGAGATCACCAAAGACCCCACAGTTCAACCCTCAGCTACAACATTCTCTTCTACTGGAGCTCGCTGGTAATAGCAAAACATGGCAACATTTTTATATTTTGACTATTCTTGAAAAAGACTAAGCAAGGCTGAATCATTTAGTATTGTGATGAAAGACCAGCAGAAAATATCAAAGTTATAGCCTAGATTGGGAATTTGAAAAAAACATCCCAGAAACCAACAATAAGCCACTATTATTGTTGCAAGAAAAAAAATCTACACAGCCAGGACAAATAATTGCTAAGACCCAAACACCACTTGAAGAAGTCTTTATCTTTCTATACATAAACAAGTGCGTACAAAGTTTGCTGTACTATTGGTTAAGACATCGGGCTTGTCGACGGGAAGATTGGCAGTTCAAGACCCAGGCACCGCGTGATGAGGTGAGCTCCCATCCTCACCCCAGCTTCTATCCACCAAGCGGTTCAAAAGCATGCAAATGCGAATAGATAAATAGGTACCACTTCGGTGGGAAGGTAACAGCATTCAATGCGCCTCGGCGTAGTGTCATGCTAGCCACATGACCACGGAAATGTCTTCAGCCAATGCTGGCTTTCTTGGCTAGGAAACGGAGATGAATACCGCCCCCTAGAGTTGGACATGACTGGGTAGGGGAAAACCTTTCCTTTTTCTTTTACCTGACAGCTGAGCAACCTCCTTCCTATGTGTTTAGGAAAGCCAAAAGTATTTCACTGTCTACAACTCGCCATTAGCTTTTGTACAATTCAGTATGGCAGTGATGGTGAACCTTTTAAAGACTGAGTGCCCAAACTTCAACCCAAAAGCCACTTATGTATCACCGGGTGCTAGGTGGGTGTGGCCTGCTGGGTGGACGTGGCTACAGTGGTCATGCCAGATGGGTGGTCGTGGCCAACTTGATGTTGCTCCTGGGGAGGGAGACCTGTGGGGGCCGGGCAGGGTTGGGGGAGATCCAGGGGTTCTCTAGTGGGTGGGGTGGTGGGCAGGAGGATGGTCCTGCGGAGTGAGGTGAGGCAAGGTGAGAAGGGGGGGTGCCATTGTCGGAGGGCAAGGCAAGGGCCTGGCACCATCAGCCCCACACACAGAGGCTAGCAAGCGCATGGGTGTTGGGATGCATATGGCCACATGGGACCTCAGCGATTTAGCAGGCGGCTGGTTGAAGAGGACAGGTGCCATCTCCGGGGCATGGCACGGGTGCCCACAGAGAGGGCTCTGAGTGCCACCTCTGACACACGTGCCATAGGTTCGCCACCACTGCAGTATGGGATCAGGGAAGGTAAGGAGGAGGAAATCCAGATCCATTAAAATAAAATTGCATTTTCCTCCCATGGATTTTCATTTGCCTTCTGGAAAATATGACATTCATCCCTTAAACGCTTCACAGGTGCCTCAAAACAAGTGCCATTGCTTTAGTTTCAGTGGAGAATGCTGCAGTGTGAATATTTGCCACCTAATTTAGCGGCAGTTTCTAAAGGGTGTTGGTTCTGCCAACCCTTGTCTCTCATCCTTCTCTCTCTAAAATAAAATCAAGATAAAATAAAAAATTAAACAATCTCTTTTTTATTCTATAATTGCCAATATCTACAGGATAACCATCTACAGGTAGTTTTCGACTTACAGCCATTCGTTTAGTGAATTGAAAAAGTGAATTATGAGACTGTTTTTCACACTTATGACCGTTGCAGCATCCCCATGGTCATGTGATTAAAATTCAGTTGCTTGGCAACTGGCATGTATTTATAATGGTTAGATGCCCCGGGATCATGTGATCACCATTTGTGACTTTCCAACAAGCAAATTCAATGGGAAAGACAGATTCATTTAACAACCGTGATACTAACTTAACAACTGCAGTAATGCACTTAACAACTGTGGCAAGAAAGGTCATAAAATGAGGCAAAACTCACTTAACTGTCTTGCTCAGCAATGAAAATTGTGAACTGAATTGTGGTTGTAAGTCGAGGACCTATCTGTACACAAAATCTGTCATGCACATGGTTGGTTGTTTTGACATTCTTCTCTACCTGCCATGCAGTTGAACGAACTTAACACTAAGGAGACCTGTCCATAGATACGCTCCTGGCATATTTATTTTTCTCCATCACTCCACTGCCAATTTAAAGGGTGAAAGAGGGGAAGGAGGAGAGAGGAACATAAACACATCCATAACTAAGTTTCATAAGAAGGGGAGAGGAAAAAAGGAATTGGCTTCATTTTTGACTAAAATAAGCCAATACGGGAGGATGTCAAAGAGAGGAACTGGCACCACTGGAAATTAAAAGACGTTTCACAAGAAGGCTGCACTATTGGTCTCAGTGGAGTTTCTGAGGGAAAAAAGGACTTGAGAATTGTGCCCAGATTCAGTTGACTCGGATTTAAATTGCTAGGCCTAATGATACTGAAGAAAGATGAATCCAGCCTTCCAACAATATTGGACTTCAATTCCCATCTTCACAAGTGACGATGGAAGTTTGTGAGTCAACAAAATGAGAAAACAAAACTGGATTTGTCATTCTGAAAGTTTTTTTTCAGCTATAAAAGCATTTTTTATATAAATACAAATTTATATAAATATAAATTTTTATATAAATTTGTAAATATAAATAGTCTTTAGCCTAAAATTAATTTTATTGAAGGATCTTACTTTTTCCAAGGAGAGTGTCATATTTTTGCAATTTACCTCCAAAACATTTTCATGCAAAAGATTTTTTTCAATGGATTGGGCCTAGTTTTTTTTTTGTTCTATTTTTCTAACAAATTAAAGGTTTAAAATATTAGATTGAGTGGGGGTGGGGGATCATTGCAAGTCATACTTCTGAGAGCCAATTTGAGGTATTAGTTTAAGGTGTTGGACTTAGAATAGGGCTCTCCAAGTTTGACAAATTTAAGACTTGTTGACTTCAACTCCAGAATTCCTCAGCCAGCTTGGTGGCTGAGGAATTCTGGAAGCTGAAGTCAACAACTCTTAAAGTTGCCAGATTAGAAGTACCGTGGATTAGAAGTATGAAAACCTGAGTTTGAGTCATGCCTCAGAACCAGAAGTCAACTCAGTGACTTGACCAGTCACTCTCTCTTGGTGGAGATGTCTGAGAAAGAACAGGAGAACCAGGTTGTAAATTTTCCTCATTCAAAGAACTACCCAGAGACTCTAGAGCAGGAGTCTTCAAACTTGGCCCTTTTATGACTTGTAGACTTCAACTCCCAGAATTCCTCAGCCAGCGTGCCTGGCTGAGGAATTCTGGGAATTGAAGTCTACAAGTCATAAAAGGGCCAAGTTTGAAGACCCCTGCTCTAGACCTGACCTACCCTGTCAGCTCAAGAGCCAATGTGGTGCAGTGAGGAAGATCCTAGACGGAAGCTGGGAGACCCTGAATTCTAATTCTGCCTTAGGCATAAAAGCCATCTTGGCATTGTAGGGCCAGTCCTTCTCTCTCAGCCCTAGGAAGGAGACAATAGCAAACCACTTTGGAAAACATTGCTTAGAAAACAACATGGACATGCTTGTATAGTCATGAGTCAAGACTGACCTGAAGGCACAAACACAAAAAATTTCCACCCAGATATTTTAGATCCACAAAGAATGTTTGATGCTCACCATAAAATAAAGTATGAGGGGATGGATTAAGGCCATATCAAAAAGCATTCTATTGACAGGTTCCTCTATTCCCTTTACTCATCCATACCAAACCATATTCTACCGGCGGCCATTTTGCTATGGGGGAATGGCACATAAGCTTTACTGGGTGCGTCCCAAGTGCTTAACCCCCATTATAATTTTTGTTTCACCTGAAATGACTGAGATTGTTTTCAGCGCCCGGAGAACTCTGAATGTTCGTAAGGCTGAGACATTGCCCACGTCCACAAATTCTGTTATGTATCTGTAAACAAGGAAAGTTTCAGACAAGAAGAAGAAGAAGAAGACCATGACAGCAAAACAAGGACAGCAAAAGAAAGAAAAGAAGAGAAAGAAGGGAAGGGGAGGACAGGGAAAAAAATAGTCACTTGAGGCTGAGACCAGATATGTCATTATCAGGGCTTCTTACCTGGTTTGTATGAAACAGTTTTTTGTTTTTTTTTAAGCGATCAGTAGCCTAACATTCCAAAGTGTGAAATTTTTACCTAGTCTGGTCAATTTTCGTACAAATCTATTGAATTAAACCAAAATTGTTTGGAAACACTCAGCAAGGCACACATAACTAGGGACTGTCTTAAAATGGCTCAGGCTTGTCTAGAAATGGTATAGGGCAGGGGTAGGCCACCTTGGCTCTTTTATGACTCGTGGACTTTAACTCCCAGAATTCCTGAGCCAGCATGGTCCAGCTTGGAAACCTCTCCCTTTTCCCTCAGCATGGCTGGCTCAGGAATTCTGGGAGTTGAAGTCCATGAGTCATAAAAGGGCCAAGATTGCCTACCCCTGAGTTACTAGGAAGATGAGGGGACTTCAACTTCCAGAATTTCTCTGCCAGCATGGCACCCTATATCAGGAATAGGCAATCTTGGCTCTTTTATGACTCGTGGACTTCAACTCCCAGAATTCCTGAGCCAACATGGCTCAGCTTGGAAACTTCTCCCTTTCCCCTCAGCATGGCTGGCTCAGGAATTCTGGGAGTTGAAGTCCATGAGTCATAAAAGAGCCAAGGTTGCCTACCCCTGGTATAGGGTCTCCTGCTCATGCAGGAATTGGACTAGATGACCTCTAAGGTGATTTACAACTCTGTTATTCTGTTATCTTAAACCTGATGTGCTGATTACCAGAATTGGTAAACGGCTTTTCTGTCTTAGCAATTCTCACCTGTACTGATTTCCTGCAGGTCTGCTGCTAAAATATTTGTGCATTATGGACATTTCTGTTCTATATTTTGGCTGCTGGATTAGCTCATGCAAACCATCATATCTTTCATCTATTTAAGACAGATTCATTTTTGTATTCCGATATTCCATTTTCTTCCATTATGATCCTCAAGGCAATTGCACCGAATTTTTAAAGGGTTCTCTTTAGGCCAGGGGTAAGCAACCTTGGCTGTTTTATGACTCGTGGACTTCAACTCCCAGAATTCCTGAGCCAGCCATGCTGAGGAGAAATGGAGAGGTTGCCATGCTGAGCCATGCTGGATCAAGAATTCTGGGAGTTGAAGTCCATGAGTCATAAAAGAGCCAAGGTGGCCTACCCCTGTCTTAGGCAAAGATCTGTTTAATTGGCCACCATGAATTACTTACATAATTTTCCTGCAGATAAGCAGAAGTAAGATCAGTAGTGCTAGGCCATTTCTCTTTCTTACCCAACATCACAGGTAGTCCTCAACTTATAACCATTCATTTAGTGACCGTTTGAAATTACAATCAGTGATTTATGACCATTTTTCACATTTACGACAGTTGCAACCTCTCCATGGTCACGTGATCGAAATTGGCAACTGGCATGTATTTATGACCTGTGGTCACATGATCACCTTTTGTGACTTTCTGACAAACAAAAGTCAGTGAGGAATCCAGATTCACTTAATAACCATGTTACTAATGTAACAATTGCAGTGAGTCACTGAACAGCTGGGCAAAAAAGGTCATAAAATAGGGCAAAACTCATTTAACAACTCTTTTGCTTAGCAATGAAAAATTTGGGCTCAGTTGTGGTTGTAAGTTGAGGACTAACTGTATTGAACTTCTTACTAAAGAACATTAAATACGTAGAAAATCCCAGGATAATGAAAGTACAAACTAGTCATGTATGCAAAGACACAAAAACCAGCACTTAAGTCGTGGCCTTGCAGCAGGAATGAGGCAATGTGACTGGAACAGATTTTTGGATCAACTTAATCTTATTGTAAACGGGAATCTTACTAAGCAACCAAAAGGAATTAACTTTCTTCAGCTCTCATCCGCAATCTGCCTGAGATCACAGGTTGGTGAGCAAACAAACAAACAAAGAAAAAAAAACACCACTGTTTCAAAATTCTCCTGTTATACAGGGAACATGTCTAAGGCAGTGTGATGTTAAAGAGGCTCTAAACATCTACAATCTTATAACCTGACAAACCCATATTTTACACATTTTACATATTGAGCAGTTAAAGAGATGGAGGGTAAACAAGTGAAAATAATACATGAATTTAGAGATGTAGCTCTATGAAAGTGAAAAGAATGGGGACACTTTGATGAATCTTTTTACACTATAATGCACTTTCCAATATAAGAACATAATTGAATTTCCTCCAAATTGTTAGTGGTTAAAGATTCCTAGGAAAAGATCTAAGTTTCTTGAAGTTAAAAAGGAATACAGGAAGTCAGTTAATACCAAATCAGTCAATATCTTTGATCTGTTTACTCCCAATATTGTCAGGCTTTTCAGCTATTACGACAAAACACTCTATTAAAGTGACTACAGGTAATCCTTGACTTACAACAGTTAGTTTAATAACAATTCAAAGTTACAATGACACTAAGAAAAGTCACTTATGACTATTTTACACATGACCATTGTAGCATCCTCGTGGTCACGTGATCCAGATTCAGACACCTAGCAAGTGACTCATATTTATGACGGTCGCAGTGTCCTGGGGTCGTGACCGTTTGACAAACAATGTCAATGGGGGAAGCCAGATTCATTTAATAACCATGCTATGAAGTTAACAACTGCAGTGATTCACTTAACAACTGCAACAAGAGAGGTTGAAAAATGGGGAAAACTCACTTAACTGTCTCGCTTAGCAACAGAAATTTTGGGCTCAATTATGTTCATAAGTCGAGGAGTACATGTACAACATATATTAAGCTGTAATACAAAATTTAAGATTAGTAGGTTTATTGCAGCTAAACTATGGAGCCGTCATGAAAGAATTCAACAACTTTTGTATAACAAATTCATGATCTAATTATATCTAATTATAACAATTAATACTCAGATTTCTTGCAAGTCTGTCGCCCACCTGTTCTACATAAAGGGCTAGAAGGGAATTTCTTTGGAGCAAGAAATACAATTTCCATCTGTTTCTTCTTTTTCCTTCTCTGGGGAAGCTAGATACTAAATTAGAATCTTCTTCACACATGAGGTGGATGTTCTGTCAATTAGTAGGTTATTTAAACTTAGCCCTTAACCCTTTTATATATATGTAGGCATGAATACATGCAAGCCCTAAAAAAACATTCCCCCAGTTGTAAAACAAACTATTACAAAAGCGTTTTCTCAAAAATTAAAATGAAAAAGTAAAATTATACATATAGTTTCAAATGTGAATCCAAACAGCCCACCCTCAAATATGACTCTTAAGGCAGCTTCTGGCACCTGAAAGTATGAATAGTAATAATAATGGGATTAAAGCAAGCAAAGTATATTTTTTAAATATGAGACTTTCTTTTTACAGACTAACCCCTGCCCCATTTTATTACAGAGAGCTAACACAGTGGAAGGGATGTGGAACCCCTATTCAAAGCCTCATGTATTTTTCTGCTGATATATTAAAGCAGCACAAAGGGGGGGGGGAGATCAAAATACGTTAAAAGATTGTCAAAGCTAGAAGACCTGTCTTATCACTAATTACTGCAGTCAGGAACAAATGTGTACTAATCTTCTATTTGAGTACTGGACCATTTTGTAGAAATCTCATGGGCATTTTGTAGCTTTTTGCCAATGCTGTTTATGATTTCTACCTCTAATACAGGTAGTCCTCGACTTATAATCATTCCTTTAGTGACCGTTTGAAACCAGAAAGACACTAAAAAAAGTGACTTAGGATCGCTCTTCATATTTATTGGCCATTGCAGCATCACCATGGTCATGTGATCAAAATTCAGTCAACTGGATCATATTTATGATGGTTGCAGTGTCCTGGGATCATGTGATCATCTTTTGGGTTCAGACAAGCTGAGTCAATGGGGCAACCAGATTCACTTAACAACCATGCTACTAACTTGACAACTACAGAGATTCATTTAATAACTGTAGCAAAAAGGTCATAAAATGGGGCAAAACTCACTTAACAGCTGTCTCGCTTAGCACAGATATTTTGGGCTCAGTTTCGGTCATAAGTCAAGGACTGTCTGTAGATTAAATAGGCTATCCCTGTGGTCCTTTTCTCTCTCTCCAAAGAATAACAGAATTGGAAGGGACCTTGAAGATCTTCTAGTCCAACCCCCTGCTCTGGCAGGAAACCCTATACTATTTCAGACAAATGGTTGTCCAATATATTAAAAATCTCCAGTGTTGAAGCACTTACAACCTCTGGAGTCAAACCATTCCACTGATTAATTGTCCTAACTGTCAGGAAGATTCTACAGAGATTCATTTAACAACTGTGGCAAGAAAGATCATAAAATGGGGCAAAACTCACTTCACCACTATGTCACTTAGCAACAGAAATTGTCAGCTCAGTTGTGGTCATAAGGACTTCCTGTATTTGCCCACCAAGTGCCCCATGCAGTGGCCATCAGTCTGTGGCTGTTAATGGACTGTTAAAAGGAATAGCAAGGAACTCTCAAGCTTTGCCATATCAGCTACCTCTTTAGAAGTGAAATCCTGAATTTCAGTCCAATTCTATTTCTTTTTCCCACCTCTCACTCCAAAGTGTGATCCGACCCCTGTTAGCTTTAAGCTTTAAGCACAATTGAGTACAGAAGTCCCAGACCCTTTCAGAACTACAAATGCTTTTGGAAAACAGCTGCCCTTCTCAAAATGCTAAATGCTTCCTTTCTACGGTGGTGGCCCCCACTTTTTCTGCCATGAGGGACCATGGAGAGAGGTTTTTCCACGCACTGGAGGATGTGTTGCTTTGCACACTGTCTGCATCCCGCAAATGGGGCTTATAGCCTCTTTATGCAGCTGGTTTCTAGCACACCGCAGTCCACGGACCAGGGCTTGGGAGCCCCTGTTCTACAAGACACTTCC